TGGGGGGGGGGGGGTATATTGTCTTGTTTTCTTAAAAGCGTTCAAGGTTATCCACGAACACATATAGACCATACAATTTTTTCAGGGACCTTCCGATTACACTGTGCGGGCTGTCCACTTCCATTAGCATCTGTTCCTTTTCAAGGTATTTGCGTTCAACAGTTTTGTCCTTTCTGGTACAAATGTAGCTGATTGCATTTGCCAAGATAGCATTGTAGTCGGATAAGTACAGCCATCACTATATACATGTAATGAACATGGCATTGTCAGTAGGCTCATCCGGGAAGTTACTGACATAAGATAGAATTCATTGGCAGTCAATGGTCCTGCTACTTCATGCCAAATTTGACACTTCACATCTTTGGTTACTAAAATTTTTTTAATATAGACAGCTAATTTGGTCCTGTTATGATATAGTGCAGCAGATGCGTTCAACGCCGTACTAACAAATTTTAATTTGATTCCAAGTCCATGCACACTAGACATAATCTGGTCCCATCCACAGGGTTTTGGGCAAGCTTCTTGTAAGATTCTTTCTCCTACCTTGCATACATCACATTAATCCTTCCGACATACATACAACAACAGGTTGCTTTTTTAATACCTCTCTAAAGTCGTCTGGGATAATGTGCGACTCTTTCCGCTTTCTTTGGTACTCTCTATAAAGGCCTCTGAGGCTTTGAAAGTGTTAGTCAAGATAGATTTTGTGTGCATTCTGCTTGTGGTAATTGGAAAGCAATTTCGTCAAGTTCGTCAAAGAATTACTTATCACAAAATTGCTTGTCCTCTTCTGCTTTATTGTAATTTGACTTGATATCGTGGAGCTCGCATCTCCAAGTCATGTAAACTGTCTTTGCAACAGTCATGAATAACCACTGTGTTTGCATATAGGTCGAATGTATGCGATACGTTTCAAACTGAAGTGTAGACCTGGAGAGTTGAAGTTGAAGGTTTGTTGATGAGAGAATTTTCAGGGCGAATACATGTTTATGAGCTGCTTTTTTTTTCGAGTGGCAAATTAAGTATCTTCTACCCAGCACTGATTGACCAATCAATGATTCAAGAATGGTATGTGACAGACACAGCAAAAGGCGTACACTTAAAGTTAATTAAGAAACGCGAAAAGACGCGATAAAAATATTTTCCACTAGTTGTATAGAATGTGAAATAAGCACCCCTTAGCTGTCAATCATTGGCTTTAAATAAATAATTAATTCGTCAGTAGCTTTTGCCACAATTTACCAAATTGGTGGAGTCAGTATTAACATATTCTTTGATGCCATCTTTCTATTTCTCAACTACAATACCAAACCTATTGATAGATTACGCAAACTGCCTTCACAAAATCTTTTGGCTATCGATAGGGTTCGATCTGAGTCGATCTGAGATTTTAACATTATAAGGTGTATCAAAGGCTGTACTGCATAAAGGGATCAAAAAGTGACTTTCTGAAATTTTGTCACTTAGGCGGTTGAATCACGTGGCTTGCGATATGCTTTTGTAAGTTATCAATTATGCCTCTTCTCTTCATTACATATTTACCAGGAAGAGGTTTTCTCAAAGAAAGGGTTTGGGGAGGGCGGGGGGGTAATTTTATAAATATTTTTAAGGGTTTACTTTGTTTTTGTCGTTTGTTTTTTGTTGTTGTTGTTTGTTTTGTTTTGTTGTTGGTTTTTTTGGATGGGATGACAAAACAAAATCTGTGACGGAAGATTTACATGTATAAGTTACCAATTATGCCTCTTCTCTTCATTACATATTTACCAGTATGAGGTTTTCTCAAAGAAAGAATTTGGGGGAGGGATAATTAAAAATTTGTTGGGGGATTTTTTTTTGGGGGGGGGGCGGGATAACAAAACAAAATCTGTGACAGAACAGAAAATTAAGATGTCACTGAGTCAACATGCATCGCATGTCACTAATTACTCCACTGACCTGAAGAGGCTCCGTTTCCACCATTTCCTGTGAATAACAGAACAAGGAGAAAATAAGAACTTTTTTAATTGTTCAAAATGGATTTTATTACGGTACCAGAAGCTATTATTAAAGACGGCATTCTATACTTTTTGAAATATTAACATGGATTCAGTTCTCTTTGCATCTAAAAATACCCACTTGTGCTCGCTTTTAGTTGCAATAATATCTGGAAACTACAAAGGGTCTTTTTCTTAGGCAGCAATCAAAACTGTTTAATTACTATACATCAGAAACAGATATAAATGAACATTACTTTCATGTACAAGCATAATATAAGCTAGAACACAGACCCTCAAAGACATACTCTAAGGCACACACAATACATGAAAATGCACAGTCATGGGTGTACACCGACACATGAGCATACAATCACACACTGAGACACACACACACACACACACACACACACAAACACACACACAAACACACACACCTATATATATATATGATCTTAACTGTGTAAATAAAGGTGTAAAAGAACACATACATTTAAAAGAAAAAAAGTAGAATATTCCTCTGTTCTATTCCACATTACAGATTTACCAGTGTGATGTTTTCTCAAGGCAAAGTGTTTTTTTTGTTGGGTTTTTTTTTTGTTGGTTTTTTGGGGGGGGGTTGTAGTTTTTGGTTTTTGTTTTGTTTTTTGGGGGTTGGTAAATGACAAAACAAAATCTGTGACAGAAGATTTACATGTTACAGAGGTGATATCACTAGCCGCTTGATTCAACCGCCAAAGTGCCGAAAAACAAATTTTACAGGAAAAACGAAAAACAGGTTTATTTATTTTTGCTCGTACCTGTGAATTTGAAATTCAGATATTTAATATAATATGGTGTAGGACGACGTTATGTAACTAACTTTTCTAAAAAAAGCTTGCTTACATTAGTTACTGGACAGGGGCGGTTTAGAGTTACCAAAATACGCGTGATTCAACTGCCTAAGTGACAGAATGACAGCGTCTAGGCGTTTGAATCACGTTAATCTACGCAACTCGACAAGCGCCAATGGTCGCTTGGGCGTTTGAGTAATCAACAAAAGCAAATCATAATAGTTTACAGAGTAATTATAAAGTTAAGAGTAATTATTTCAGTTATTTGGTTGGGTCTTCTGTTGCAGGACCGTTTTCAGCCTCAAGGAGTTGTTAAAAAGGACCATTCTCTTAACGTTCAATTTGCACTGGATTTTTTTATTCAGTGTGTATCAAAGGCAACGAAAAAGTAAGAACAAAATGGCAAAATTGCCTTATGTAACAGAGGATGGATGTGGGGGGGGGGGGGGAGGGGAGTCAGTGGGGGACAGGGAAGGAAGGGGAGGGGAAGAGGGGATGGGCGGTGTAAAAGTATTTTTGTAGGCCTACTGGTTACATCACTCTGGCTTGTGATCGTATAGGCTATGTCAAAGATGACAAAAAAAACTTCATGCTGTAATATTTTTTAAATATTTAATCATTAACAATAATAAATGAATAGTATGATGTTTACAAAATAAGCTATGAACTTTGAGGACCTATAATCTACAGAAGTGTAACTACTATTTCCTGGAACACTGGCTATAACATTTGTCGAGCAGATGACTATCTAGCAGTGTACAAGAATATCGTCACTACCCTTCCCCTAACCTACTCTAGCTCCTCGCTCTATATCCTGTCTCCTCTTCCGACCTCCGATATATATATATATATATATATAAAAGGCCCTTGTGTCGCTTTGATGGTTCAGACTTCAATAATTACATACTGGGTAATTGGTACCTTCTTCCCCCAGTTCCCACGATCATATGAACATGCCAAATATTTGCGCTCTCCACGTCTATAATTAACATATAAGATTCGCTTCTCAGTATCATTTGTAGGGAACTTACAATTTATGGACTTAAACGATTTTGGGACATAGTGTTAGAAATATCAGCTCTCACGCCAAGGTTCTTTGACCTACAGGATACTACCCTGAGCAGTGGAGTGTCCAGAACAATACAATTTTTTGTAATTACACTTCTCTCGCTAGTAGGGGCATCCAGGGCACTATAATTGCGCCTGAGCCCAATAAGGAAAAAAAGATCCCTTTAGTACAAAAAATGAAACTCATCACGCATGCACTTGTTAGTGTCTCATTGCCTTTGAGTTCTGCAAAACCTGTGTACAATATGAAGAAACCTACGCTGAAAGACTATTTAAAACAGTGTGTTGTGGAAGATTTGGCCATTGTAAAATGAGACCAGTTCTTCCTCCTCCGATTCGAGACTCAACAAAGAGGTCAAAAAGTTCCTATCAGTTAGCAATTAAAATGGCATCCGTTAATGTTTCTATTATCATTGAAGTTTCCAGTGCCTTTGAATTTCATCTTCAAAAGCTCAAACAAAGATGCATGCCCTATATATATAAATATCTTAAGGAACTGATTACCCCTGGCTTTCTGACAAAGAGAGGGTCTTCTATTCTCAAGGTTTTTTCAAAGTCATACACCGATGGCAAAAATGTTTAAATGTGGGAGACGACTACACAGAGAAAGATTAAGGTTATCACCAAATTTCATCTTTCTACCTTTATTCCTTCATGCTCCGGTAAAAAAAAACGGTAAAAAAAACTTTCGGTATGCCCCTCGTACTACACAAGGGCTTACCTGAAGCTGGCTTCTCTGCTGCTGTGACAAGACTCCATCAATCTGAATACCAAAAGATTTAAAGGTGCAGATCATAAAATTCCTCAGAGGACCACAGATTTGCTGATTATTGGTGATGCCCTGGAGTGCGTCCATGTACACGTTCATACATCTTTGGAATTGATCCATGTCTGTCAATAGAAGAATACATATTTTTTAACTGCATCGAAAAAACTAAGTCACGTATCATCACCATCTTGATTTGATCGTATTAATGACATCGTTAAATATTTCAGGAGAAGGAATATAATTGATTTATTAAAAGGACGGTTTGGCATTATCTGATTTTCATACTGTTAAAAAGTCCACTTTTGGGTGTTTATTTTTTAAAAATTTTTTAGGTTTAATGAAACATGTTTTGTAAAATACATTTCATGACAAACATCAATATTGAAAATTTTTTATTCATCCAATCTTATCATGATGGGAACGATATATTCAACGCTGTAGTACATGATCATATTGAAGTTCAAAATGTATATATGGGTCACAACGATGTGGAATCAAGTTCTTGTCCAATTTTGGACACAAGGAGTTATTGGTATCACCTTAAAGCCTATCCCTTTGCCTTGCTTTTGATGGAAACAATACCCATTTATCTTTTGTATAAGTCAGAATACATGGGCTTACGCCTAAACATCAAGAAAACCGAAACGATGGTGATAAGCAGAAAAACTCCAATCTCAACATGCAATATCAAAATCAATAATACCACCCTCAAGCAAGTATTACATTTTAGACATTTGGGGACCATTATATCATCAGATGGTAGATGTCACACCGAAATTAAAAGCCGCATTTGCCAAGCAAAATCAACCTTCCACAAGACGAAAAGAGATACTAACAAACATCAATCTGTCGCTGGAAACGAGGAAAAGAGTACTGAAAAGTTACATCGAGCCAATCTTATTATACGGGTGCGAAGCGTGGACAATCAATAAACAATAGGAAAGAACAATTGTAGCGACAGAGTTGTGGTTCAAAAGACGCAAGCTACGTATCCCGTGGCCAGCTAGAAAAACAAATGAAGAAGTCCTGGTTGAAGCAAATTATAGAAAACAACTTATCACGAATATAAGAAAACTACAGGCAAATTTCTTCGGACACACAATGCGGAAAGAAGCATTAGAGAATATTGTAACAACAGGAAAGTTTGATGGAAAGAGAGGCAGAGACAGACAGAGGGAAAAGATACTGGACAAGATGACAACATGGTTGGGAGCAGCAAGAACAACAGACACCATTGCTGCAGCGCAGGACAGGGTGAAGTGGAGGTCCATGATCGCCCACGCCAGTCGGCAAGGCACCGGATGATGATAAGTCAGAATATTGACGATTGAAGAAGGTGGGGGTCACCTGGTTTCAGAGGTAAACTTAATTAGAAAATGGCCTCCAAAGCTGTGTTATTTCCTTAGCTTGAGAGTTTGCAGAAACTGAAAATTTACATCTTTTATGCCTTTAATCGACGTTTTTCAGTAAAAATCCTCATAGACATGTGTCCTTTAATTTTTTAATGTGCATGAAAGGTGTGGAGCCAAAAAAACTAACAATCGATAAAAATCCCAAAACCTACGAGAAAATTTCAGTTTCTTCATTTTGATTATTTTGATTAGCACCTTATTTTCTTATTTCACCATGCTGTCTTACATATGTGTGGCCACCCCTTCTTTACAGCTGTGAATGCTGGACAATCACTAATGACAGTATAAAAAACATAGCAGAAACAGAAATGTTCTTTTTTAGGAGACTGCAGAAAAGTGTCTTACAGTCTTAAACTGCACGTTGCAGGCCTACATTAAACTTCTGTGCATGATACAGATTGTAAAGCACATATTATATTGCTGTTGAGTGGGAATGTGTGAAATACAAATGATTATATTTATCATTAGCCTATAATATTATTATCACTGCCAACCTTTTTAAAAAATACAGTATATGCAGTTTTTACAATTTGACAGGACAGCCGAAAAACTTAATACTGCTACAATCAGAACAAACTCTTTGCAAACATCCCAAGTCAAAATTTAGAGAAAACAATTTCGATAACAACATCCATATTATCTTTAGCGCAACATTGTTTTCTTGGTAATAACACTAAGTCTTTTTGCTCTCATGCATCCTGTAAAATTGTAAAAACTCAATGTACTGCATTTTTTAAATGATGGCAGATTACATTGTTGTTAACTGCCATACCAACAACACAATTAGTATTCACCTGAGTTTCCAGATCCGGTATTGACCACGGGTCTACTTGTGGGTGCACTGCCATCACCTGAAATAGAAATAATTGTAAATTAAGGTGCAGTCAGAAATTCTTGATGCGACCAATCCTCAAATATCTCTTTTTGGGTGAATTAATTTAAATTGTTTTAACTTAATCTCACTTTTCGACAACAATCGAGGCTAGATTAAAAAACTTTTCTCCATGAATTTATATAAAGTACTACAAAACTCCGTCATGGAGAAAATATGATTGTTCACGCACAGCACTTCACGCTTTTCACACACATTTTGTATACTTATGTGTGGCTTATATGTCACAGCTCACCAATGACATTTTTAGTGTAAAGAGCTCCTACATTAAAAACAAAACAAACAAAAGTGGTCCATCTAGAAACAAAAAGGGGAAATTCTAAAAAAAGGACTGTACAAATTCTTAGGATATGGACAAAAAGTCTAGGTATGCTCTACTCAATACTGCAAAAGACGAAAAAATTGTCGTACTTTGAAAGGGCCAGTATGCAACATTGATTTGAAACTTATTTTATTATGTAGCGCTTAAAGCCACCTGAAAGTGAGTAATATAGAAGTGATATTTAGTATTATTATTTGACCTATAATTATTATTAGGCCTATTATTATTATTATTATTATTGTCATTATTACTATTACTCTTCTTCTTCTTCTTCTTCTTCTTCTTATTATTATTATTATTATTATTATTAATGCAGTCAATACATGAGGAATTTTCTGGTAAGTTTATTTTTATTTTGAATACTTACGAATACTTTGAACCAGAGCATTCATATCAATGTTGCAACTAATACCGGCTTGTGACAGCTGCTTTTGCATTTCATTCTGAAAAGGAATAGCAATAACAACAACAATAATATTAATAATAACGATAATAATCATAATAATCATAATAATAATAATAATAATAATAGCCTAATAATAATAATAATTAATAATAATAGGCCTAATAATAATACTAAGCCTATTATAATAATAATAATATTGATATTGATAATGATAATAATAACTATAATAATAATTATTATAATAAAAATGATAATAATAATAACCATCATCATAATCTTAATAATCATAATCATAATAATAAAAACAATAATAATAATAAATAATTGTGGCATAGTTGTAATAACAACAACAACAATTTAATCATTGTCAACGTCATCATCATCATAAAAATCAAGATGATATATGACATGTATATAGCGCACTTTTATCATTTACAATGCTGAAAGCGTTTTACTTGACATAATAATAGCCTATAAAATAAAATAAAATAAAATAAAATGAAATAAAATAAAAGATAAGCCTTATAACAGAGAGGGTTTACAGTAGTATTACTGTAAACTCTCTGCTTATAATAATACAACCACTCCCTCAACGAAATAGTTGCCCACAGGGAATAAATTAATTTTTAAAAATATAGGCCTATAGAAAGAACAGTGAATAAAAACATTTTAAGAATCTAAATAAATCAATAATATGATTAATAATAATACAAATAATAACAATGATAATGATAATGATGATTATGATAGTAATAATAAATAATAATAATAATTTATTAAAATAAGAGCAAAAAAGTAATAATAATAATGATAATGATAATAATGATAACAATGATAATTAATTATAATGAGAAGCAGCATGATCAGCCTCATAAAATCACAGAATTCTACACTAAGTGTAGAATTCTGTGCATAAAATAAAACAAAGAATAGGCCTAATCGCGTCCTCAACGAGATAGATCTAGTTCTAATGCCCATAGGAAAGTAGGCCTAAATTATGCCTGAAGCTGGCCACAGCTAGGTATAGAAAACAAAACTATAATTCTTTTTTTAATTTAATTTTTTAAATGTCATAAAAGTTCAACGCGCCTGCCATTTGACCTTATGCAGTTGCGAGCGCCGTAAAAACCTTACAAAAACAACAAAAGAAATTTCAACGGGCGCATGAGCCTATAATACTAATCTAGCATGAGAAGCCTTTATGCGGGGACTGAAGACAAATCAAAACACTAAAGGCTCAGTGGGACTGCTCCAGAACATGAAAAAAAAAACGACAGAGAGGATTTTAGTTGTTTTGGGGTTTTTTTTTACTAGTTGTACGGGACTTTGTAATGCAATTAAGTCACAAATAAACGTGCAGATGCTTCGAGGTGTTTGATACACGCGCGC